CGCAGAAGCTGTTCGACAATCTGGTTGAGGCGCTCTGTCTGACCATCCGTTTGGGGATGATAGGCTGATGACATGGCGAGTTTGGTCCCCATGAGCGACATGAGCTCCTTCCAGAATTGACTCGTGAATTTCGGGTCTCTGTCGGAGATCAGCGTGGTTGGAATGCCATGTTGCGAGATGACGTAGCGGAAGAATATTTGCGCTGTCTCCTCGACGCGAGCCGTTGTGTGTGTCGGAATGAAGTGTCCCATTTTGGAGAATTTGTCGATGACGACTAGAATGGTGTCGTAACCAGCTTTGGTAGGTGGTAACCCGGTGATGAAGTCGAGGCTAACCACTTGCCAAGGCTGTTCAGGGACTGGAAGAGGCTGTAGTAATCCTGCTTTCTTCTGTTTGCTACTCTTCATCCGTTGGCATGTGTCGCACGAGGTGACGAATTTTTGTACGTCATCCGCCATGTTGGGCCAATAATAATGCTTCGCAATACCGGCAAGCGTCTTGTTACTACCGAAGTGGCCTGCGTAGAGAACATCATGATATTCTTCGAGCAGTAACTGGCGTAAGGGAGGGTAATTAGGTACCCATATTTTTGTGGAGCCCTTGCGGTATGCGATGTCTTGATCCCAATGTAGAAGATGGCGCTTTTCTGCTACAGAGACTTCGGGGTCGATGGTGTATCCATGCGTGAAGAGTCCCTTCAGAAGTGGGTTCATGCCATCGATTTGTAAGGCGACAACGTGTGCAGGGCGACTCAGTGCGTCTGCCTTGTTCTTGTGCCCCGGCTTACACACGATGTCGTAATGGAAGTGGGTTTCGAGAAAGTCAATCCACCGGACCTGCCGCCTGGAGAGTGTTGGTTGGGTCTTCAGGTACTTGAGGCTGCAGTGGTCGGTGTAGACAGTCGTTTTTCTTCCTTCGAGATAACACCTCCATGCCTTAAATGCGTTGACGATGGCGAGGGCCTCTTTGTCATGGATGGGGTAATTGAGTTCTGCCCCGTGAAGTTTTTTACTGAGGTATGCAATGGGTTGTAGTCCCTTCCCTTGATCCTGCATGAGTACTGCGCCCACTGCTTGATCGCTAGCATCGGCCTCGATGACATAGTCAAGTTCAGTGTCTGGCAGGATAAGAACAGGTGCGGACGTGAGTGCGGTTTTTAAGTTGTTCCACGGCTTCCTGGTGCTTCGCCTCCCATTGATATGGTGTATTCTTCTTCAACAGGTTCGTTAATGGTGCGGCAATCTTGGCGTAGTTCGGTACGAACCGGTTGTAGTAGTTGGCGAATCCAAGGAACTGTTGTAACTCCTTTACGTTCTCAGGGGTCTTCCACGTTCGCACTGCTTCGATCTTCTTAGGATCCACGTGAACTCCTTGAGCGCTCACCATATGTCCAAGGAACTGGACTTTTTTTCAACGCAAACTCGCTCTTGGATAGTTTCACGTAGAAGCGTTCTCGTCGAAGAATTTCAAACACCCGTCGTAGATGCTCAACGTGCTGCTTCATATCTTTCGAGTAGATCAGGATATCGTCCAAATATACCACCACGCACTCGTCCAGAAGGGGCCGAAGGATGTGGTTCATTTCTGCCTGAAATGTGGCTGGTGCGTTAGTGAGTCCGAATGGCATCACGAGATACTCGTATGACCCGTACCGAGTTCGAAAAGCGGTTTTGTGGATAGAGTTGTCCGCCATACGAATTTGCCAGTATCCCGATCTGAGGTCGAGCTTGGAGAATACCGTAGCACCGCGAAGTTGATCGAGTAAGTCGTCGATCCGTGGTATCGGGTATTTATTTTTTACAGTCTGCTTGTTCAAGGCTCGGTAGTCGATGCACATTCGCAGACTTCCGTCTGGCTTCGGAGTGAAGAGAACTGGAGCTCCGTACGGCGAAGTCGAAGGTCAAATCAGCCCTTTCTCCAGGAGATACTCTATTTGTTTTTTCATATCGGCAAGCTCTGTCGGGCTCAGCCGGTATGGTGCTCGAAATGTTGGCTTGGACCCCGGCTCTTCTACGATCTCGTGTTGATGTGTCCGGTATGGCGGGTAGTTGATCAGGTAAATCGTCGGGGAGAACGTCCTGGAATTCTTCACGAATTTTCTTGACTGCTGGAGGAAGTTCCTGGGTCTGCTTCTCTCCGTTGTTTGCCTCGTTGACTATCGCCATGAATCCCGCCGTGGTCCGTTTGACGTTCTTTTCAAAGCGTGCGAGTGTCTCGACTGGAATATTTCCCGTGTCGTCCCATTTGGGAAGGCTGATTTTCCTCCCATTGTTGTTGATGTTGGCCGTCTGGTTAACCCAGTTGATCTCGGGGTTGAACTTTTTAAGAAAGTCTCTCCCGAAGATTATGTCGAGTCCTTTGATATTTGTGACGGGGAGAGCAGGCTTCCATCGAAGGGGTCCAATCTGGAGTAGCAACCGTGTTTCCCCGTAGATAGGTAGCTTACTGCCATCCAGCATCGTTGCAGAGAAGCTTGAGGACTTGATGTCACTTCCGAGTCGATCGATTGCCTTTTTGTCATAGACGCTGTGCGACGCCCCGCTGTCCACGAGTGCTTGGAGGCGCTGTCCGTTGCAGATCACCTCGAGCAGGAGTGGTGAGCGTTGCTCGGAGTACCCAAAAATGGTCTCATTAATAGGATCATAGGGTACATCCCAATATTCAGTACACACCGTGGTTCCACTGCTTTCTTCTGGACAACTAGCTGGCCTGGGCTGCGTGGAGAAAGGCTCTTCTCCAACGCCAGGAGTAGAGGTAGTAACCGTACAAGTTGACCCTGAGGGGGTGGATCCGGTCGACGCCTGCGATCCACTGGATGCATCCTTGAGGGGTTTTCGGAGTTTCTGCAGCTTCTTTTGAACTCCCAGCTGCCTCTTCAGCTGCTTCAGCTCCATAGACTTCTTCCCTGGGGAGTGGAGAGTCGTCTTGGGCTGGTTTCGGGAGAGGACGTTGACGCCGTGAAAAGGTCTACTCCTTTCCACACTCCTTAATTTTTTCCCCAGCTCCGTAGGCACCGGTACCACTTCTTTAATTGTTTGCTTCCTCTGGAGTTCTTCCCGGAATTTGTTTATGGCTCCGGACCCGCGAAAATCGCCAGTCTTCATTAAAGCATCTTTGAAAGATAACTTTAACGAATTCTGTTTTTTTCCGGGGTCGAATTGGAGAGTTCCCGTCTTGGTCGAGTCTGTTTTCGCGGAGGTTTTCTTTTCCTCGGCGAATTCCTCTGACAAATTTCGGTCAAGGGGCTTGGGATTTCGCCCTTGATTCTCCAAATCTCGCGCCCAATGCTGTCCTTCAATTTCGATTCGGTCCAGATTGCGCTGACGCTTTCGGATCTGTGTTTTCTCGCCAGCACGATCCGCAATCACTGGCGAGATCCGTTTTTTTGACTTTTTGTCTTTAGTTTCGCCACTCCCACGAGCTCGGAATGCCGCACGTGCTGATTTCATGTGAAAACAGTCGACAATGCGATGTCCGTTTCCGCCGCAAAATTCGCAAAGTGTTTTGTTTTTTGCAGGACGTGAACTCGCGTCGAATTTGTCGACTTCCATGAGGTCGGCGAACGTGGTTGAAGCCGAGCGATCCCCTTGTCGTGATCCGACGACGTGGGGTCGTCGTGTCCCGGAGTTGACAAAGTCAAAACGCTCCGCGGCCGATACGATTTCGCTGTAGCTGCTGCAATTCGCTGCTGCAACCTGGCGCCGAATGTCGGTTTTCAGCCCCGCGATGTAGGACTGAATTTTTTCGCCCTCGGTAATGTCGGGAATGCGATTATAAAATTCCTCCATCTGCTGCGTGTATTGCGCGACACTCCCGTATTGCCTATGGTGATGTAATTTTTTCGCGCGCAATATAAGTGGAATTAATCGGCTCAAAACGTTTGAGAAGGTCTGCCCGGAACTGCTGCCACGTGGCTTCGCCCTGGAAAATGCTACTGTTGCTTCCGAGCCACTCGAGAGCTGGACCGCGCATCAACGTTGTTGCGAGACGAATTTTCTCGCCGTCGTACTCCGTTGTCGTCCATCCGATCGCCGCGAAATAAATTTCCATCGTCGCGAGCCACCGCCTGACGTCGGATTTTCGATCGCTAGGGTCGAACGATTCCGGCGAGCGAAGTTTCGGAACCTCGAACTGACGCTGCGACTGCTGCGAAGTCGTCAAAGCAGGAATGTTCATGGTCGAGAGGAGCCGCGTAACGCGCTGCTGCTCGTTTCGCATCTGCTCGTTCTCCAATCGCGACCGTTCAGTCGTCACTCGCATCTCCGCTTCCATCTTGGCGATTTGCGCGAAGAGCTGCTGCGTAACGTCGTTGGTCGCCGGCGAACCCATCCTGTTCAAAAACCACGCGAGGGGGTTAATTCGAAAAGCGCGGAACTGGTACTTACCAGAAATCGGCGTCGAATTGGTCGCCCCCGGCGGTTTTTTCGAGGCGATTTTTTCCGCGACCGCTGCTTAGCCAAGAGTTGTCGAGTGAGAACGGCTCTGATTACCAAGTGTCACAAGATCGAATTCTCAATCGAAACTTGTCACTAAAACTGAATACAAGGCCTATTTATACTCGGAAAGTACAAGGATAAACGAGATAAAACGAACCTTCGGGAACACACCCTTCCCGATACTACAATCAGAAGTGCGCATAAGCACGCAAGTCTATTGGCACTTGGGATTACGCCCAGATTACACCGTATACACCACTGTCGGCGCTGTCGGTGCCGTATAATAGGTATGTTGGTGGGAAAAGTAGGAAATAAGAGAAATAAATAGAAGGCTCTAGAAAATAGAATAGTAGGCCGATTGAGATGAGATAAAGACCAAAATAAAGAGGAGAAAAGGGAGAATAGGATAACGGAAAAATATAATAGTGAGAAAATATTATAACGGGGACGTCCTCTCACAAACGTGCATGGTCCAGGAGCTTGCCTGGTCCAGGAGCTTGCCTGGTCAAGGAGCTTGCCTGGTCCAGGAGCTTGCCTGGTCAAGGAGCTTGCCTGGTCCATGAGCTATCCTGGTTCAGGAGCTTGCCTAGTCAAGGAGCTTGCCTGGTCCAGGAGCTTGCCTGGTCCAGGAGCTTGCCTGGTCCACGAGCCTGCCTGGTCCAAGAGCTTGCCTGGTCCAGGAGCATGCATGGTCCACGAACGTGCCTAGTCCAGGAGTTTGCCTGGTCCAGGAGCTTGCCTGGTCCAGGAGCTTGCATAGTCTAATCTCTTGCTCGGTCCAAAAGCCTGCCTCTTCCAAGAGCTTGCCTGGTCCAGGAGCGTGCCTGGTCCAAGAGCTTGACTTATCCAGGACCTTGCGTGGTCGAGGAGCTTGCCTGGTCAAGGAGCTTGCCAGGTCCAGGAGCTTGCCTAGTCCAAGAGCTTGCCTGGTCCAAGAGCTTGCGTGGTCCAGGAGCTTGCCTTGTCTAGGAGCTTGCCTGGTCTAGGAGCTTGCCTGGTCTAGGAGCTTGACTGGTCTAGGAGCGTGCGTGGTCCACGAGTTTGCCTGGTTCAGAAGCTTGCCTCGTCCAGGAGCTTGCCTGGTCTAGGAGGTTGCATGGTCCAGGAGTGTGCCTGGTCCAGGAGCTTGCCTAGTCCAGGAGCTATCCTGGTCAAGGAGCTTGCCTGGTCCAGGAGCTTGCCTGGTCCACGAGCGTCCACATCCATGTCCAAGTCCACGTCCTTGTCTACGTCCACATCCACGTCCATGACCACGTCCACGTCCACGTCCACGTCCATGTCCATGTCCACGTCCACGTCCATGTCCACGTCCATGTCCACGTCCAAGTCCATGTCCACGTCCACGTCCATGTCCACGACCACGTCCATGTCCACGTCCACGTCCACGTCTAAGTCCATGTCCACGTCCACGTCCACGTCCACGTCCATATCCACGACCATGTCTTCGTCCACGTCCACGTCCACGTCCATGTCCACGTCCAAGTTCTCCACGTCCACGTCCACGTCCACGTCGACGTCCACGTAAATGTCCACGTCCATGTCCACGTCCACGTCCACGTCCATGTCCACGTCCATGTCCACGTCCACGTCCACGTCCACGCCTATCTCCACGTCCAAGTCCTCCACGTCCATGTCCACGTCCATCTCCACGTCCACGTCCATGTCCACGTCCACGTCCACGTTCACGCCCACGTCCACGCCCACGTCCACGTCCACGTCCATGTCCACGTCCATGTCCACGTCCACGTCCACGTCCACGTCCACGTCCATGTCCACGTCCACGTCCATGTCCACGTCCATGTCCACGTCCACGTCCACGTCCACGTCCAAGTCCACGTCCAAGTTCTCCACGTCCAAGTCCACGTCCACGTCGACGTCCACGTACATGTCCACGTCCATGTCCACGTCCACGTCCACGTCCATGTCCATGTCCACGTCCATGTCCACGTCCACGTCCACGTCCACGCCTATCTCCACGTCCAAGTCCTCCACGTCCATGTCCACGTCCATGTCCACGTCCACGTCCACGTCCACGTCCATGTCCACGTCCACGTCCACGTCCACGTCCACGTCCACGCCCATGTCGACGTCCACGTCCACGCCCACGTCCACGCCCATGTCCACGTCCACGTCCACGTCCACGTCCACGTCCAAGTCTACGTCCACGTCCACGTCCACGTCCATCTCCACGTCCACGTCCACGTCCACGTCCACGTCCATCTCCACGTCCACGTCCACGTCCACGTCCACGTCCACGTCCACGTCCATCTCCACGTCCACGTCCACGTCCACGTCCACGTCCACGACCAGGTCCACGTCCACGTCCACGTCCACGACCACGTCCACGTCCACGTCCACGACCAAGTCCACGTCCACGTCCACGTCCACGTCCACGTCCATGTCCACGTCCACGTCCAGGTCCACGTCCATGTCCACGTCCACGTCCACGTCCACGTCCACGTCCATCTCCACGTCCACGTCCACGTCCACGTCCACGTCCATCTCCACGTCCACGTCCACGTCCACGTCCACGTCCACGACCATGTCCACGTCCACGTCCACGTCCACGTCCATGTCCACGTCCACGTCCATGTCCACGTCCACGTCCACGTCCACGTCCACGTCCACGTCCACGTCCACGTCCATGTCCACGTCCACGTCCAGGTCCACGTCCACGTCCACGTCCACGTCCACGTCCATGTCCACGTCCAAGTTCTCCACGTCCACGTCCACCTCCACGTCCACGTCCTTGTCCACGTCCATGTCCATGTCCACGTCCACGTCCACCATTTTCTCTACGTATTTGCGTTAGTTACCTTTCAAACCCTTACGTTCACTAGATGAATTTATTTCCTTCCTTCTATTTGAGTGAGACCACTAGATTTCGTGTACTATGCGAGATCTGAGTGGTTCCGTTCTCCCAGGCATTTGCACTCTAAGTTCCCATACTGACCGACCTGGCCAATGCACCATTTTCCATATACATACGCATTAGATTCCTTTCGAACCTTATTAGCTCACTAGATTTATATATTTCCCACCTTCTGATCGAGTGAGACCGCTAGATTCCCATTACTTTTTGAGAAATGAGCGTTTCCGTTCTCCTTGGCCCTACTTGCACTATAAGTGCGAAATGCCGGCCAGACTGGCCGATGCACCATTTTCTCTACACATGTGGGTTAGTTACCTTTCAAACCCTTACGTTCACTAGATGAATTTATTTCCTACATTCGTTTTGAGTGAGACCACTAGATTCCGTGTGCTATGCAAGATCTGAGCGCTTCCGTTCTCCCAGGCATTTGCACTCAAAGTTCCCATACTGACCGACCTGGCCAATGCACCATTTTCCATATACATATGCATTAGATTCCTTTCGAACCTTATTAGCTCACTAGATTTATATATTTCCCACCTTGTGATCGAGTGAGACCGCTAGACTCCCTCTACTTTTTGAGAAATGAGCGTTTCCGTTCTCCTTGGCCCTAGTTGCACTATAAGTGCGAAATGCCGGCCAGACTGGCCGATGCACAATTTTCTCTACACATGTACGTTAGTTACCTTTCAAACCCTTACGTTCACTAGATGAATATATTTCCTACTTTCTATTTGAGTGAGACCACTTGATTCCGTGTACTATGCGAGATCTGAGCGCTTCCGTTCTCCCTGGCATTTGCATTTTAAGTTCCGATACTGACTGACCTGGCCAATGCACCATTTTCTCTATACATGTGCGTTGAATACATTTCAAACCTTAGGGGAAATGGCGACCCGAGGGGTCGCTAAAAAAAAATCGCGCCTCTGGGCGCGCTTCGGTGGGCAAAAAAAAAACGGTCCTTAGAAGGACCCGCTCTGATACCATGTAAGAATAAGCGAACATGAATGAATGAACTAGCAGTGAAAATGAGTACAAGTAGTAAACCCTAGAATTGTGTACCCCTTATAGGCTAACCCACTGTAGCCTACACAAGCACAACATATATGATGTTTGACACTGACCGACCTGGCCAATGCACCATTTTCTCTATACATGTACGTTGAATACATTTCAAACCTTTTTAGCTGACTAGATTTATATATTTCCCACCTTCTGATCGAGTGAGACCGTTAGATTCCCTTTACTTTTTGAGAAACGAGCGTTTCCGTTCTCCCTGGCCCCACTTGCACTATGAGTGCGAAATGCCGGCCAGACTGGCCGATGCACCATTTTCTCTACACATGTGCGTTAGTTACCTTTCAAACCCTTACGTTCACTAGATGAATATATTTCCTACCTTATATTTGAGTGAGACCACTAGATTCCGTGTATTATGCGAGATATGAGCGGTTCCGTTCTCTGAGACATTTGCACTCTAAGTTCCCATACTGACCGACCTGGCCAATGCACCACTTTTCATATACATATGCATTAGATTCCTTCCGAACCTTATTAGCTCACTATATTTATAAGGGCCTAAACCCTGAGAGCGCACAGTGGGATCAGCATCAGCAGCAGGGGCAGGAGAGGCGCCAGAAGTGAGGTCAAAGAGAGAGAGGCTGTCTACCCTATCGCACTGTAAAAACAACTGCAGGTTGTCGACCCAGACCTCAAAGTCAATGGCGCGACCCTGAGCGTCAAAAGCTAGGACACTAGGGGTAGCCATGACGACGACAGCAAAGCAGTGCAAGCAGTAGGGGAAGAGCACGCAGTGACAGTGGGACTGTGCTCACCAGGCAGGGCAGCGCTGCAGAAGGGCGGCTCGGCGACTCAGCGACTCGGCTGCTGGGCGGCTCGGCTTCCGGGCGGCTCGGTGTCGGGCGGCTCGGGTGCAGGGCGGCTCGGCTCCCGGGCGGCTCGGCGGCAGGGCGGCTCGGCTGCACCGCTGCTCGGCTGCTGCAGGTGGGCGGCTCGGCTGCTGTAGGTAGGGTGACGGGGCCGTGAGACCAGGGGCGGCGGGGCCGGCGAAGCAGGGCCGGCAGGGGGGACGGCGGGGCCGCGTCTGAGCGGGCGGCGGGGCCGCGGCTGAGCAGGCGGCGGGGCCGCGTAGTAGTGGGCGGCGGGGCCGGGGCTGAGCAGGCGGCGGGGCCGCGTCAAAGCGGGCGGCGGGGCCGCGTCAAAGCAGGTGGCGGGGCCGCGTCGTAGTGGGCGGCGGGGCCGGGGCTGAGCAGGCGGCGGGGCCGCGTCAAAGCGGGCGTCGGGGCCGCGTCAAAGCATGCGGCGGGGCCGCGTCGAAGCAGGCGGCGGGGCCGCGTCAAAGCAGGCGGCGGGGCCGCGTCAGAGCAGACGGCGGGGCCGCGTCAAAGCGGGCGGCGGGGCCGCCTCGTAGCGGGCGGCGGGGCCGCGTCTGAGCAGGCGGCGGGGCGTCTGAGCGGGCGGCAGGGGCCGCATCTGAGCGGGCGGCGGGGCCGCGTCGTAGCGGGCGGCGGGGCCGCGGCTGAGTAGGTGGCGGGGCCGCGTCTGAGCAGGCGGCGGAGCCGCGATCGAAATGGGCGGCGGGGCCGCGTCTGAAGGGGCGGCAGGGCCGCGAGGGAAGGGCGACACGGAGGGTCGCTCGAGCGAGAGGAAAAAAAAAGCTAGCGCGCCTCGGGGCGCGCTTCGGTGGGCCCTAGGCAAAGTTCCCACAGGGAACCCGCTCTATACCATGTGAAACTTGTAATGACAAAGTCAAGGTTGGGTACAAATACAACCCTAGGAAGCTGTACCCCATATGTGCTACCCCACTATAGCCTACAAACATGCATCAGCTATAGTAATCTGACACTACCTTCTATTTGAGTGAGACCACTAGATTCCGTGTACTATGCGAGATCTGAGCGTTTCCGTTCTCCCTGGCATTTGTACTCTAAGTTCCCATACTGACCGACCTGGCCAATGCACCATTTTCCATATACATATGCATTAGATTCCTTTCGAACCTTATTAGCTCACTAGATTTATATATTTCCCACCTTCTGATCAAGTGAGACCGCTAGATTCCCTTTAGTTTTGAGAAATGAGCGTTTCCGTTCTCCTTGGCCCTACTTGCACTATAAGTGCGAAATGCCGGCCAGACTGGCCGATGCACCATTTTCTCTACACATGTGCGTTAGTTACCTTTCAAACCCTTACATTCACTAGATGAATTTATTTCCTACCTTCTATTTGAGTGAGACCACAAGATTCCGTGTACTATGCGAGATCCGAGCGCTTCCGTTCTCCCTGGCATTTGCATTTTAAGTTCCGATACTGACCGACCTGGCCAATGCACCATTTTCTCTATACATGTGCGTTGAATGCATTTCAAACCTTTTTAGCTGACTAGATTTATATATTTCCCACCTTCTGATCGAGTGAGACCGTTAGATTCCATCTACTTTTTGAGAAATGAGCGTTTCCGTTCTCCCTGGCCACACCTGCACTATGAGTGCGAAATTCCGGCCTGACTGGCCGATGCACCATTTTCTCTACACATGTGCGTTAGTTACCTTTCAAACCCTAACGTTGACTAGATGAATATATTTCCTACCTTATATTTGAGTGAGACCACTAGATTCCGTGTATTATGCGAGATCTGAGCGGTTCCGTTCTCCCAGGCATTTGCACTCTAAGTTCCCATACTGACCGACCTGGACAATGCACCACGTTCCATATACATATGCATTGGATTCCTTCCGAACCTTATTAGCTCACTAGATTTATATATTTTCCACCTTCTGATCTAGTGAGACCGCTAGATTCCCTTTACTTTTTGAGAAATGAGCGTTTCCGTTCTCCTTGGCCCTAGTTGCACTATAAGTGCGAAATGCCGGCCAGACTGGCCGATGCACAATTTTCTCTACACGTGTGCGTTACTTACCTTTCAAACCCTTACGTTCACTAGATGAATATATTTCCTACTTTCTATTTGAGTGAGACCACTTGATTCCGTGTACTATGCGAGATCTGAGCGCTTCCGTTCTCCCTGGCATTTGCATTTTAAGTTCCGATACTGACCGACCTGGCCAATGCACCATTTTCTCTATACATGTGCGTTGAATACATTTCAAACCTTTTTAGCTGACTAGATTTATATATTTCCCACCTTCTGATCGAGTGAGACCGTTAGATTCCCTCTACTTTTTAAGAAACGAGCGTTTCCGTTCTCCCTGGCCCCACATGCACTATGAGTGCGAAATGCCGGCCAGACTCGCCGATGCACCATTTTCTCTACACATGTGCGTTAGTTACCTTTCAAACCCTTACGTTCACTAGATGAATATATTTCCTACCTTATATTTGAGTGAGGCCACTAGATTCCGTGTATTATGCAAGATCTGAGCGGTTCCGTTCTCCGAGGCATTTGCACTCTAAGTTCCCATACTGACCGACCTGGCCAATGCACCACTTTCCATATACATCCGCATTAGATTCCTTCCGAACCTTATTATCTCACTAGATTTATATATTTCCCACCTTCTGATCGAGTGAGACCGCTAGATTCCCTTAACTTTTTGAGAAATGACCGTTTCTGTTCTCCTTGGCCCTACTTGCACTATAAGTGCGAAATGCCGGCCAGACTGGCCGATGCACCATTTTCTCTACACATGTGCGTTAGTTACCTTTCAAACCCTTACGTTCACTAGATGAATTTATTTCCTACCTTCTATTTGAGTGAGACCACTAGATTCCGTGTACTATGCGAGATCTGAGCGCTTCCGTTCTTCCTGGCATTTGCACTCTAAGTTCCCATACTGACTGACCTGGCCAATGCACCATTTTCCATATACATTTGCATTAGATTCCTTTCGAACCTTATTAGCTCACTAGATTTATATATTTCCCACCTTCTGATCAA